TGTGCCAGCAAATCATACTGACAATGAATGGGTCAGACCCAAGCTTCATGTGGTGGAGAGTTGAACGGTGGAGAAAAACAGGTGCCTGGGGATGAGGATAAAAAAAGGGCAACTGTAGAGTGATGTTTCCTGGCTGATAGGAATAGTGGTTCTGGGGTTTTCTGAACCAAAAAGCATATCTTCATGCTTAAATAGCTCTTCATGATGGATAGTTTTTTTCCTGTCATGAATCATTTGTTTCCATGATTGTGTGATAAGATGTATAATGGAACTATTCATGAAACAGATGCAAGTAGGTGTTTCCTTTTGAACTTAGTATGTGTTGGTATTGTTTCATGCTTCTCTCAACTGCTTTATTCTTTGTTTAGGTTTTCTGAAGTCCTCTGCCCTGGGCAAAAGTCAAGGAGCATTTCAAATTTGTAAGATGTGAACAGTTTTCAAATTGATTGAGAAATTTCAGTTGAATATAATGGAAAACACATTCTGTGTTTTTGTAGGGAGATTTGTAGCCCGTGTTGCTGAGATTGAAAAACAGAGAAGGAAAGTGGGATGTGTCTTCTCACCACAGTGCTTAGGATTAGGAGAACTGCTGGCAACTGGTTCCAGGGGAAGCACAATGCTTGGAAATAGTGCTGTGATCTTTTTGCTGCTCACAAGTAGTATGTGTGTTGTCTCTGTTGCTGTACCTCTTTTCTCGTCTTTAAATTATCTCTGACCATATCCCATTTCTTTCTCTGGGAGAGAAATCCCCTGCCTGCAGTAGTTTCGGTGATGGAATACTGAAAGGTACTGAAGGTTGGCGTAAAGGCACTTTTTGTGTAAATTATTGTATTGCTTTTTAGGTGCCTCTGTAGTGTATCATGCCTCTTCATTCCTTGTCAAAGCTTGGTGTGTTTGTAGTGTTTTGTGGCAAGAACAGATACTATATTGTGTCGACTTGTAAGAAGTATGAGAAAACTCGTCTGGAAACTAATTTATCAAATACAATGGCAGTGCATATTTAATAGGTTGCTCACATGCTTAAGTTGTATTGGAATTACCCCTTATGATTCATGGTACTATCCTGAAATATAGAATGGTTTCAGCTGGAAGGGATCCTAAAAAACATCCAGTTCCAACCCCACTAGACCGGGTTATTCAAAGTCCCATCCAGCCTGGCCTTGAGCACTTCCAAGGGTGGGGCACCCACAGCTTCTTTCAGCAACCTTGTCTAGTGCCTCACCACCCTCAGAGTGAAGAATTTCTTCCTCATATCTAATCTAAACCTACCCTCTTTCAGTTTAAAGCCATTACCCGTTGTCCTGTCACCACAATTCCTTGTAAAAAATCCCTCCCAGTCTTTTCCGTAGGCCCCTTTTAGATACTGGATGGCTGCTATAATGTCTCGCCAGAGCATTCTCTTCTCCAGGCTGGACAACCCCAACTCTTTCAGCATGTCTTCATAGGAGAGGTACTCCAGCCCTCTGATCATCTCTTTGGCCCTCCTCTGTGTCAGGTCCTGTTATGTTGGGGTCTCAGAGCTGAATGCAGTGCTCCGTGTGGGGTCTCGTTAGAGCAGAGTGGAGAATCACTTCCCTCAACCTCCTGGTCATGCCTCTTTGATGTAGCCCAAGATACGGCTGGCTTTCTGGGCTGCAAGCACATGTTGTTGACTCATGTTGAGCTTCTCATCAAACAACACCCTGAAGCCTTTCTCCTCAGGGCTGCTCTCAATCCATTCTGCCCCCAGCCTGTATTTGTCCTGGGATTGTCCTGGCCCAGGTGCAGGACCTTGCACTTGGCCTTGTGGAACCTCATGAGGTTGAGCCATTAACCACAACTCTTCGAGTGCAACTGTCCAGACAATTCTTATCCTCTGAGTGGTCCATCCATCAAGTCCATGTCTCTCCAATTTGGACACAAGGATGTTGTGTGGGAATCTCTTCTGATACAGCAAGCTAAGCTTACTCTGGTATGTTTTAATGGATCTAAAATGTAGTGCGGTAGTGTCATTTCCTGGAACTAGATGGAACAGTTTTCAAACACACAGTAGAAATATTGGAGGTTCAGATAGATCCAGTCTGATCATGCATCGCTTCTAGGAGGACACCTCTCTGTTTCTGCCAGGCACTCTGGAACAATGGAAGCTGCCATTAATAGGTGTTTTCATGGAGCCATTGTAACACAGAATGCCTCTACCTCATTAGCAGAGGTCATATGTCCTATATATCTGAAAATGATCTCTCACAAAATGTAAAGACATCAAATGACTTATCAGCTCCCTCCTGCTGTAGCGATAGAGCTTTTTTGTGTTATAAGAACTTGTTATAAGAACAAGTATTCCAAATTTCTGATTGGATGAGTTAATTTATTACTGGCTCAAATTGTTTGTAATGCAGTTGCTGTATGTTGGCTGGTAATATAGAAATACATGTTTTTTTCCTGTTGTGCATGATCTTTTCTTTGGGTAGAATACCTTTTTTATATGCATTTTTGTACAGCAAGTTAGCAGAATAATTAGTCTTGTACTCTTTAAATATTTCCAGAACTTACGAAGAGGTTGAGAAGCTGAGGTGGAGAAGTAGTATTTGCATGTCTTTTCCCGTAATGCAAATTGGTTAATCAGCAAATATGATAACCAGCTTTGAAAGCTGTATTTTATTAATACAGACATTAATATATTGGTAACAATACATTTATAATAATAATAAAGTTAAATATATTTGATATAATAAATTAATAGCCCTTTAAGTTATATATTCAAAATTAAAAATATAAACAATTTTTGCTGTGATTTGCAGTAGATGTTTCTCCATATAAGTGAATAATTTTTTTTTCAGGAAACTGGGATATGTTCTATTAAATTAACTGAATAAATCAATACACCTTTTAAAGCAAAACAAACAAAAGACCCAACAACTAAAAACCATACACCTGTTTTATTTCCTTTAACTTTTCATGGGAAACAAAAACTCAGCACTTTGCTTTTTTTTTTTTCTTTTTCCCTTCAGGAAGCTGGTGTTATATGAATTCACCAAGTGGAACAGGAAGTGCTTTGTTGATTGATGCCAGTACTTTCTCCACCACTGTTTCTGATTCTGTGTTTTTTCTTTATGTGGCTGTTGACTTTTATAATGTTTTTAAGAATTATAATTGTTTGTATGCCTGCGAGTTGTGAGTCTTTTGACAGCGGTTGGAGGAACGTAGTGAAGACAGAACAATCTCTGAAGCATGACTTTTCTCAGGAAACACTGTTAAACTAAGGCTTGGAAGTTTTTCTTGGGTAAAGAATGTGCAAAATAAGCACAGAGAAACCTAAACGGTGCTGATGGGAGCAGTGTTTCCATGAGAGCTCTAGCACTTCTCAGAAAGATGGCTTTCTAAGACTCATTCTGAAGAGCAAGTGAAGAGCTTGGTGGGCATGGAGTTAGAAAGATGAAGCTAAAAAACCTGTAAGCTTTGATCACATTTTGCTTCTGATACATTTTTACTTCTTGATTTTTGTCTGTGGGAGTCAGTCTTGAGTAGGCTAGTTTGAACAGTCATGAGGATGGAGTTGCATTAAAGGGTAAGGAAGTTTGGTAGGACCTAAACCCCCATGTGGTAGGACCTAAACCCCTTTGTGTTCCAGCTTGTCCTCAGGTATCACAGGGGCTGGGGGTGGCTGGATTTATATTCTGAGTTTTGCCCAATTTGGTGCTGTATGTCCAGTCACATTAATCACAATCACAGATGTGCAAATAGTGCAATACACTTTCAGTCTAGTAAAACAGTTCCATAGTACCATCCAGTTACCCATCCGTGCAGTGATAGCACAGAGCTTGGCTGTGGTGTCCTCACTCTGCTCCACCCTCCATACTCTATCTCTTACAGTCAGCACACCAAGCTCCCCAAGCTCCCCTCATGTCACCAATACCTAAGGTTGCAGGCGATATTGCCAAAGGGACTATCGTGGAACAGATTACTTGCGTATCTGCCACATCTCACTCTGGAAGTTTCCTCAGTGTTGAACCTTCTCTTAAGATTTGGATGAACGTTTAGCCTCAATAAGTCACCTCCAGCAATTATTCCACAGATAGTAATAGGCAATTTAAAAGTGGAATAATGGAAGCAGGGTAGTCAAAATAACAAAGCACGATGGACATGATTTTCATAATTTAATCTAAGGTGTGGTAGAGATTATCTTTGATTATTTTTGTGCTCCAGAGTAACTAAGCATGAGACTGAAGGACTACTAGTATCGCCTTCACTTAAGAAATACTTACACGTTAGTGTTACAGAGACATCTTGTAGTGGCTTGAAGTCATGCCACATTACCTGCTACAGACTTCTTCTACTGAGAAAATAAGGGCAGCTAATAGTAACCGAAACAGTGGCATTAGATGTATTGGCACATCCTGTTCAATTATAAAGCAAAGGAATACAGAGAACTCCGTCATTTATCTTTTTCAGCATTAAAGTTCACAGTTTCCCTCTTGTACCATAGTTTAAAAGCGTATGTGAGCTTCAATTAACAGAGCAGATCAATAGAGCTCGTATATGTGGAACATCAGCTATAGAGTTTCTAGTTTAAATAAGATTCATATCTATTAGGATCAGGGGATGGGCAAGTTTTCAGAAATCTCAGGTATACTATGAAGACTTAGGCCTAAACTTCACGCTAGCTGTCTTTAATGTACAGTTCAGCTGGTGACCATGGCAGTTTGGCCTCTTGTGCAGGATCCATGCTTTTTATCAGCAAAGATTCTGGGAATACCAGATGCTCCTGCAGGCTGCACTTGCCCTGGATTTCACACGTGGGTGATGGGTTTCGGCTATGTAGAGGACAAAGTAATCAATTATTTCACCTCCACTCAGTGCGCGCGAAAGAGAGTTTCTCATTTAATCAGGGTGGCTTTTTATCCGCCATGAATATTGGCAATTGCATCAGATCACACACTGTATATATGGAGAGTGAAAGCAGAAATACAATGTACCCTGCAACTTCTCTTTAAGATAACATCAAGTCCTGTCTCTTACAGAAGGCTACCCAGACGGAGTTGTTACATTTTGCCCAGGGAAATGCAGAACTGTGCACAAACACATTTTAGAGATAAAACGCAAAAAGTAAAAAGTTGCAGGTAGGTAATCCCAAGCCACTGCTGTTGGCATTGCATATTTTGCTTTAAATTGTGCAGAAGGATTAAGAATAGAAGAATGGTCAGAAATTGAGTTTGTCAAAGGTCCATTATGCCTAGAATGATGCCTCCAACCATGAGCAGATACAGTCTTGAGTATGTACCTCACAGCTAAGGAAGAACAGGGTAAGCATATGTTGCCACTTTTCTCCTTTCTTAAACTGCCTTTAGCTCAGGGGACTTTGAGTTGGATGCAGCTATGTACATTCATTACTGATGTTTGCATATTTCATGGATTTTCATTACAGAAATGCTTCCAGTTTTCCCTGAACCTATGTAAAGTTCCTGTATCCGCAGCATCAGTCAACAAGGAGATTGGAGGCTCTTGGCACAAAGAATTACCTCCCCATGTTTGTTTTTAACCTGGCTTCTTCAGACTTCTTTAATGCTCAGAGTACAAGTTGGGGCTAAACCAGAGGTTCATGTAGTGGCGTAATAATGTTTCACCTTGCTGTGCAGCTAAACATCATCACAGCCATTCTTTCACTCTGCTTCCTCAAATGGAGAGAAAATACTATGGAAGAGGGCTCAAGGTTTGAGATAGGGAGATCACTCTCCAATTATCATCATGGGCAAAACAGATTCAGAGCAGGGAGATTTACAAAATGTATTGCCTATTACTAACAGATTAGGCAGAGAAAACTAAAACTAAGAACGCCTTCCCTCCCCCATCTGCCCTCTTCTGCCCAACCCTGAGTGGCGCTGGGGAACGGACAATGGGGTTGCAGTCAGTCTATAAAACTTTGCCTCCACTGCTCCTTCTCGGTCACTCTCCCCCTGTTCCCTGTGGAGTCCCTTCCAGGGATGCCGTCCTTCCCCAACTGAGCCTGTGTGGGCTTCCTGCAGGCAGCAGCTCTTCAAGCACTGCTCCCACACAGCTCCATCCCACGGGGTCCATCCATCCATCCATGCCCCAGGAGCAAACTGCTCCAGCACGGGTCCCCCACGGGTGGGGGCAACTCCCCCCAGACCCCCTGCTCCACGTGGGCTCCTCTCCACGGGCTGCAGCTCCGGCCTGGGGCCTGCTCCTGCGGGGGCTCTCCATGGGCCGCAGCCTCCTCCAGGCCACATCCACCTGCTCCACCGGGGGCTCCTCCACCCATGGGGGGGCTGCAGCGTGGAGATCTGCTCCATGGGGGACCCATGGGCTGCAGGGGGACAGCCTGCTCCACCAGGGGCCTCTCCCTGCACAGCCCGCAGGGGAACTGCTGCTGCCTGCCTGCAGCACCTCCTGCCCTCCTGCGGCACTCCCCTGGGGGGCTGCAGGGCTGTTGCTCTATTTTCTCACCCCTCTCTCCCAGCTGCTGTTGCCCAGCAGTTCTTTCCCTTCCTTAACTTTGCTCTCCCAGAGGCCCAAGCAATGTCACTCACTGGCTGGACTCCAGCAAGCAGCAGGTCCCTTTTGGACCAGCTGGAGCTGGCTCTGATCTGCCATGGGGCAGCTTCTGGGCTCCACTCACAAAGGACTGTGCAGCCTTGCAGCCCCCTGCTACCAAAACCTTGCCACATTAAACCAATGCATCCATTTAATTCTTTCAGTCTTTCCTAGTAACACTTAAAATCTGATAGGCTGCCATTTTTACAGAACTGTTTCTTATATTTACATAACTATTTCTTATACTGTAACTGTTTATTACTCCTGAATGTCATGCTATTTTAATGGACACCTTAGACCCTGGGTTTTCTATTGTTTTCTTCCAAGTGCATCATTTTGTTTTCATCTATGTTTAACTTAATCCACTTACTCTTTTAAAATCCTTCTGTAACTGTTGTGGTTAAGGTGAAGGATGCAAAATATAGTCTTAAAACCGTTTTTAGTATGTTTGTCCTGTAGCATAAAACTAGCAAAAATATTGTTTGTTCTCAAATTTTATTCAATTTATGGGCTTATGACGCTAAACTTACAACATAACATAATAAAACTCTTGAATATTTTTTCAATGTATATGTGTAATGGACTTGTGTTAGTATAAAACATGTATTAAAACATTAGTACAGAACAAACATATGGTAACTGTGTGGCTTCCCTCCAGACTTTTCAGGTGGATCTTGACCTTGGAACCCTTGGTGTTTTGACCTAAACAGTAGAGAAATCTAATTAGCTTGAAGCAGCTATTTCTGTTTGGCCAGGCATGTTTCTTTGAAAATAGAGTCTGGGGCCTGACCTTGGCAATATGCGTTGTAAGATGAAAATGCTGCCACAATTGTTAGTAGTTCTAGTTCAAAAACATCAGCTTCCTCTTCATTCTAATATTGCAAGCATTGTTCCTGTAACATGTGTTTGGCACACTTAACCTCTTTATATGTTTCCTTAGAAAACCTACAAGTGCTGAGCATAAACATGTAACATCATTTTTCTTTGCTTATGGTGGGCTAAATCCTTGCTTTACCTTTAGTTTTCTGAATGTAGATGTAAGAGTGCACTTAATTGCCTTCCTGGAATGGTGTCTGTGTTCAGAAATACAGTGGACATGTTGTAGGAAGGCAAGAGACCTGATGCGAGTACGGACATCTGTATTTTGTATGAAAACTGTAAAGGGACTCTTGGAAAGAGTTTCAGAATTAGTTTGCTATTTTCCAGGCTGCCACCTCTTCACTTTTAGACTATCTTTTCCCACAAACTAGTAATCACACTAAACCTGACGCTGCAGCAATGCACAGTCCACTGTCTTGAATCAGTTCTGCTGGAAAACAAACAAACAAACAAACAAAAAACGACTAAATGTTATTCTGAATCTGAACATTTCAATTTAGTTGTGAAGAATGAAAGGAAAGCTATGAGTTCTGTGCATGGCTGTCCGTTCAGTATGTGGCTATATATGAAGCACTTCTGCAAGACAGCGTTATTTTACAGTCCCACCAATGTGACTGGTTGCTTTGTCATGAGTTTTTGAACTAGAAATGCTGTATTGAAAAACGGGTAGAAACCTATTGAGTAGCTTTGAGCAATAGTGAAATTGCATACAGGTGAATAGTACTATAAAAATCGTCCTCCTTCAAATCCTACTCCCAACCCCGAGGCTTTTCCATAATATTTTGAATACTGCTGTTCTTGCCTGGAGTCTGGTGTAGATTGCTTTCATTTCCAGAAATGGATGAAAACTTAGGGTCATTAAATAAGTTCCCTGGTGCTGCCCCTACTCTTCTTTTACAGCAACATATGTAGGGCAAGTCTGTACCAAAAACTTTAAACAAAAGAAAAATACAAAAAGCCTTTTCTTTCTAGGTGACTTTTCTCAGAGTAAAAGCAGCCTTTGTGGCTGTGGAACAGGACGTCTCTTGTTTGGAAGTGTTTCCTATCTGACTGCTCTAGTCTCATAATGTAGGTTTCATGTAGGGATAAAGTTTTTTGTCTCAGCACAATAACCATTAGGTATCAAAGTGAAAGTACAAAAATAAGTCCTTGTGCCCCCAGGATGGGGTTGTAAAAGTACCTATTCAACATAATTAGGTACCTAATTGGGTTATTAAAGTTAAGTAATGTATATACATATGTAAGTAATTAAATTATATTGGAAAGTATTCTATTTGTAATAATGTGTGCTCTGCTCTCTACAAATCAAATTATAGGTAGAATTGATTCTGTGACAATTTAAAAATACTTGCTTTTTAGGTAATTTCCTTTACTTTTTATGTAACATTAACAAAGCCTAAAAAGCTACCTATGAAAAATATAAGCCAGTGTGGAAAATACAAAAAACATATACAAAAGTGAGACTTAAAAATAAGTAAATTGTATCTGGCCAACTTTGTTATAGTAAACACCCCGAGGTCAGAAATCATCAGAAACTGTTTCCGTCTGCTTATAAAAGCTAGTGAACAATGCAGCTCTTTGAATCGAAGTCACCAGTTGACTGTTTTGGAATAGCTTTATGTAGTAGATTTTCATGCCTTAATCTCTCCTTAGTAGAAAATGCAATCATGGGGAGAACTTTAACAATTTCTCTTGTTAATGAAACCAGCCATGTAATAATGGGAAGAAACTAAGGAATCAGAGTGCAAAACTTGAGTTCCCAGTAAATTTGTTGATCAAAAATAGGATGAGCTTCTATTTAACACTTTGGGCTCAGGCAAGAAACAGCCAGTGGGAGTATTTGATGGTTCCAGGTTGTAAGGAAACTGTTTTCAGAAATTTTTGTTTAAATCAGTTACACGTGAAGAGAAAAAAAATGGAAAAAAAAAGACCGTGTTACAGCACTGGAAAAAAAAAGAAAAAAAGAAGTGTTATAGCTTTGGAGAACTGATAAGAGATTCATCAGACCTGGAAGTGAGGCTGGTTTTGGTAGGTTCACAGTGAAGGGCCTCGTTACACCCCACTGAATATCGAAGTTAATGAATGCTTAATTTTAGGCTCAAGGCCTGTAAATAATGGAACAGAATATACTGTATTTATGGAGGAGTAGCAACAGAAAAATGTCAGCACTAAAAGGCGTTGAAGAAAGAAAAAAGGCACTGGAGCATTATTTCTGGAGTGCATGAGAATAATTTCCGTTTTGTCAATTTTTTGGCCATGAGATTTTTAGTCTAAATGTTTTAAAATACTTGTTCCAGTTCTTGTTTTGAAGAGTACCAATTCCTTCCCCTGCCCCCAGACTGGATTTAGATTGTTGTTAGCTAACCTTTAACTGCGTACCCCGTGGAGAAGGGAAATAATCTCTGTGTCGCAGTAGTTAGGGCTAGAAGTAGGGGGCTTAAATTAACACAACCTGCAAGCTGTTAAAGAGCAATTTATCCACTGTTATTGCCTTTTTATAGTGCTGCCATTTGCTGGTAAGAACTAATGTTTTGTTTTAAGATTGACTAGGGAACAGTTACGCTGGTTTAGATCACCAAAACATTTAGTGAGCTTGACTGGGTGCGTGCTCTCATGAACAAGCATTACAGTGTCTGTCAGTGGGGCTGGACACAAACTTGGTCAGGGCCTAACCTGAGAACTTCAGTAAATCACATCTGCGGCAGTGTTTGATTACTGTGTCTCATGAATGATCAACATACAAGCTTACTTTATTTTATTAATCATGGAGAGCTTTGTTAGCAGACACTGTATGATTTTAGGTGGTGAATACTGGTTCACTATTGCTTCAGAGTTCAGGAAATCCATCATTTTTTAAGTAACTAAATGATATACACTAGTAGCTGTTGTGCATCTGTGTGTGTGCATAACAACTTCAATTACTCCTTCTTCATCTTTAAGCTTAATTCTTTGCTTCTGTTTATTCTTGGCCACCCAGCATATTAGTTTAATGCCAAGTAATATTTAGGTTAATTTATGTGTTCTTATGGTTCCACTAGTAATTGTAACAGCTGCAGTGCAACAACAACAAAAAAATCAAATATTTTTTGTTTTCTTTTTTTTTCAGGCTTTAATTATCCTGATAAGTTTTCTTTTTTCTTGTCTACTATATATTTCTGCATAGATGGAATTATAAAAAATGAACCTGGTTATAAATATAGTATGTTTGGAGTTTCCTGTGTATATACTTTTAAAATACTCTATTAGAAATAGTCTATCAATTATAATTATTATATATTCTATTCTAGTATTGTTGAAACACTAAGTTGGTATGAAATGCAGTAACAGATTTGTAAAACTGGAGTATGGTTGCTCCTCTTGAAGATGATGAAAAGGTTTTTATAGTGTTTTAGTCCTAACCAAATCACAGGAGGGGTTTGAACACTTCTCAAAACTATCTGAATGAAAACCTTGCCTTCTTGTACATGTATTTTTAGAAGCAGTAGAAATCTCAGAACAGAAGTTTATCACAGAATTGTCCAGGTTGGAAGAAACCTCAAGATCATCGAGTCCAACCTCTGACCTAACACTAACAAGTCCTCCACTAAATGATATTGTTAAGTTCAACATCTAAATGTCTTTTAAAGACCTCCAGGGACGGTGACTCCACCACTTCCCTGGGCAGCCCATTCCAGTGCCTAACAACCCTTTCAGTAAAGAAGTTCTTCCCAACATCCAACCTAAAACTCCCCTGGCGCAACTTAAGCCCATTCCCCCTCGTCCTGTCACCAGGCACATGGGAGAACAGGCCAACCCCCACCTCACTACAGCCTCCTTTGAGGTATCTGTAGAGAGCGATAAGGTCACCCCTGAGCCTCCTCTTCTCCAGGCTGAACAAGCCCAGCTCCCTCAGCCGCTCCTCGTAGGACTTGTTCTCCAGGCCCCTCACCAGCTTCGTCGCCCTTCTTTGGACCCGCTCAAGCACCTCGATGTCCTTCTTGTAGCGAGGGGCCCAAAATTGAACACAGTACTTTCGTATGCAAGCCAGGATGCTGTTGGCCTTCTCGACCACCTGAGCACCCTGCTGGCTCATATTCAGCCGACTATCAACCAATACTCCCAGGTCCTTCTCTGCCTGGCAGCTCTCCAACCACTCATCTCCCAGCCTGTAGCTCTGCTTGGGGTTATTGCACCCCAGGTGCAGGACCCAGCACTTGGCCTTGTGGAACTTCATACCATTGACCTCAGCCCATTGGTCCAGCCTATCCAGATCCTCCTGCAGAGCCTTCCTACCCTAATATAATATATAATTATATTATATTATATTATATTATATTATATTATATTATATTATATTATATTATATTATATTATATTATATTATATTATATTATATTATATTATATTATATTATATTATATTATATTATATTATATTATATTATATTATATATTATTAATAATTAATACTATATTATATTAGGGTAGGACTATAACATATTAGGGTAGAGTATACCTACCCTAATTGTAGTGTATGACAGTGTATTTTAGTACACTGTCATAAGGAGGAGTTCTTAGTGTGCCTTTTTGGATACAGTATATATTTGTACAATATATTAATGCCATCTGACATAAATTGCTGATTAATTTTACTGTTTTCCTGCTCCCTTTTGTCTTGTAGCCGTCCTCAGAAGGTGTGTTTGTGTCCATTCCTGCCCATACATCCTCTAAAAGTCTCCACCTGCTTGTATATAATTCAGCATCCAGCAGAGGTGAGTAAGGCTCTTGTAATTTTTAAGAGTTCGTCTAGAATCTTAATGAAGCAAATGGCATACAAGAGAAAACAACCATGTTTTTAACATGATATAATGATTTTGCCTTTTAAACCAGATAATTGAAATGTCACTTCATCTGAATTATTGTGTCTTCTGAAATCACAACTGACTTCTGCAGTTTTCTTACACACAAGACATCTTTTCTAATTTGAATAGGCATACTAGAATTGGACCTTGCCTTGGCTTGGCACAAACTGTTCCAAGAGTGAGTATTGATACAGTATGGCACAGGGGCACTTGTAATCAAGAGGAAGGAATATGCTTTATTTATATCTGTTCTCTTTCATTGCTGTTAGTCTTCTGTTATAAAAATATAAATTATGCAATGCATCTTAGTGGTGACCTTAAGTATTTAGCCAATGGAAAACTGTGGGTTAGCTTCAAAACATCAGGTGTGTGTGTGTGTGTGTGTGTGTGTGTGTGTGATTTAGAAGAGTGCATGAGAGAACCACCAAAGCAGCAACTTTCTTTGAAGTTTGAATTGTTTTTTGCTTAAGGTACTTTTGCTTTTCAAAGATCCTAGGTGGTGGTATAGTGTGTCCTATATTGGACATGGTACAGGGCATTCTATGTTTTTGCCTGTTCTGTGCCTTCAAATATTGAACAGACCCTTAATTTTTGGTTTAACTAATAGGGAAATTTATGTTGGTGTTTTCTTGTCTGTTAACAATGGAGTATGATGGTGGATCACAAGTATTTTAGAAGCTGAACTGCAGTTACAGGGATCTGGATAGGCAGTGTGTTTACAAATTAGACTGTGTCATTCAGAACCTGTATTCTTCTGATCCAGCTGTTTACTTACAGTAGCTCAATCTGCAGGCAGAGTCTTTGCCTGAAGCAACTTCAGCAGAATATAAATGACCAAATTAGAGAAAAGTGTCTAGAGAAACAAAACAGAAGTCATGATGTGTTTGGTCCCCAAACAGGAAAGCTGTGATTTTTAATTGGCTACTTACAGTGAAAATACTGTTTTTGTGTTACTTCTTTTCTCAAAAGTTCTTAATTTTACATTAAGTCACTTGCTGGAAAAAAAGTTTCAAAATGTGCCAGAGAACTTTGAACTGGCATTTGATTTGTGCTGAATTTCTTATTCATGGTGGAAGGTATTTGAAAAAGTTTGCACATTCTCTTTAGATTCCATGCACTATTTCCGTGTCCTTCTGAACAGCAGTCTACACTTTTTATTTATCAGCTATCACAACAGTTGTCCACTAAAATGGGATGCAACTTTTGTTATATGGTATATGTAACTATTGGTATATGTTAATGGTGACAACTGATCCAGGCAATGTGATCCAAGTTATGATAATTCATATGATAAACTAGTAGTGGAGGACCACTTTAAGTGAAGACAATCTATCTTAGAGGAAAAAAATAACTATCTGACTATACAAGGGAACTTGGCTTATCGGAGATGAATACAAAGAAAGACTGAGAAGCTAAGAGCATGGTATATAAAGACCGTTGGAAATGTTTTAGATGATTACAGGTGATTCTTTTGATCTCAGAACGGCAGAGGCATGATTGCCAAAGGATAGGTTCGCTTTGCTGTAGCTGTCTACTCAAAATGCAAAAAGTCTTGAAGACTTTTTGCAGATTTAGTATCAGTACAGATTTAGTATCAGTAGCTTATCCTTGAGTTTGCCTTATCATTACAGTTCCTTTTGAAATGGACTGTGGGGTATATCTCATTAAACTAACCAGACAGGCAATGTATTTCTCCTACTGCACATCAGTGCTGACTTGACTTTCATTCTCCACGTGCTTCATTATTTATTGGCTTTGGAAGTCTGCAGTGCAGCGAAGTAAACCACCAGCTGTGACCAAATGACTATTTAGATTTGTATTCAGGCAAGATGGTAATGGAGGAAGGTGGAAGCAGCATTTCCTGTGCTCTTTGATTATGTGTGATTATTTGTGACTGTGACTCTAGTCCTTACAATTCAGAGGGCATTCTGCCAGATACACATGTGAGGTGCTTCAGAAGAGAGAGGAACCTCTCCATGCACAGTAGTAAGGATTCTCTAAGATCCCAGGTTAGGAAACCTGTCATCCAACTTCCACCTTTGCATAGGTCAATTAATTTTTGAAGGAATTTTAAGAGAATATAGTATTTCACATCAAGGGGTAAATACTTGTTTTCTGAATAGTGTTAGTGTACCATTGTTTATAATGAGAGTAATTTAAAAACAAAGTAGATACAAACCCACTATCCTAACTAGCAGGAGTAGTGGAAATGTGAAGAACTTATTTGCATAGCATAATTTCTACTTCTCTTCCTTCTTTGCACATATTTATTTAAATAAATAAATAAAACCATTTTCTCATCTTTCTTCTCTCATGCCTACACTTATGGATCTGATGGTCAGTGGCATAGGCAGGTGTACAAACTCGTGTGCACGTTTTTCTTACCTTTGTCTTTTATTGTCCTTGGAGTGACCTCCAGCAGAGCCTAGGCCATTTTGTACTTTTCCAAACCTGGGTGTAACTCAGGACAGAAGCCTTAAATCACAGCAGAGAGTATCTGTGTAGATTGATTTGTTTCTCTGCCTTCCTTCTTTGCAGAAGCATAAGAATTTTCATTGCTAAGAAAACTTTCATTATAAAGAAAACTTGTGTGTATTTAATGAATTTATGTACTGATCTCATGCTAGTAATTAGCTTTTACTTGCTCATTTTAATATTTGTTTTGTAGAATAGTCTTTATTGAACAGCAAAAATCAAATATAATTTGCTATTTGTCTTAGCAATTCTTGGAAAAAAAGGGAGGAATTATATCTGTGAGCTTTAATAAACATTTGTATTTGTTAGAACAGTCTGTTCACTGTAGAAGGACAATGCTATGTTAACAAAATATACCATGGATTCCATTAAAGTAAAAGAAAAAAACAAACAATAAAAAACAACCTGAAAGCCAATCAACTCCTCCAATCCTATTTCTACTTCTGTACTTCAATAGTCTAATAATGAATAAGCAAAGAATTGCAAATCACTATTGGGACACTAAGAAGAACAAAGTTGAGAGTAACTGTCCACTTTCAAACCAGAAAATGGAAACTAAGTGATATGGTAATGAGCTTTATATAAACTATTTAAATAGAGACATTTTTAAGAAGAAAATTCTAAACAAATGAAACCTATTCTAATGGTAGTTTTCCTTAACCATTTTTAAGCTTCTGTTCACAAACAATTACTTTCAGCTTTGAATTTTATATTTTATCTTTTTGTAAACATAGATTGTTTTTTAGATTGGAAAGCTCCAACTTTTTCTCTGCTAGTAAGAAAATGTGTTTATTTGATAGAAAGGTAATTCTGAAATAATGATATGACACTGGTTGGAATGGTTGAATGACTTTTCCTTGACTGATGATAGCTTCTTTTATTTTGGTTATCAGAGACAAAAAATTGATTTTCTTCCAGTTCCTTTATTGCCATTTTTTACATTCTTATGAAGAGAGTCTTCTGACTGGTGAATTGGAGTGTTATTTGATTATGATGAAATAAGGACAAATAATCCTGTACTACAATGATGGCTTGTTTAGCTTTGCAGAGATAGATGGAATGAATGGTAGATTGAAGGATATTTCTGCCTCCCTTTGCTAGCTCTTCATTCACCAGGTACTTTGATCTTCATCTATCCCTAGGACACATCATTCTGCTGCTGCAGTGCATAGTAGTGGTGTGTGTAGCAGGACTACTTCAGATCCCTGATGTTTTATTTATACTTTAGTGAATCAGTAGGTATGGAACTGAAGAAGCAAAATTAATAAAGGTTTTAGGCAACAGTGATAAAGGTTCTCACAGAACTAATTTAACAGCAGTCTGGTAGGCAATGAGAGCTGTAGGCAGCAGCACATTGATACTTGAGGAAGGTAACAGCCACCTGGAGAGAACTGAGAGAGCTAATCAAGGCCTTACTTGTTCACAAATACTGAATTGTTGATATATGACTTATAAGTAAAAAGATGCCTCCCCCCCTGGAGGTTTTACGTTAATTAATCTTGTGGTTTAGGGGCTGATCTTTGGGTTTTCATTGGCAGAATCCTAAGACATTGAAACTGAGAATACTGTAAGAACTAATTTTTTATTGGGTTTCAGACTCTCATAATCATAGCTCAACCTGTAGCGTCTTGACTCCTGCTAAATTCAACTAATGTCCATCCTTTGTTCCTCATGTGATTAAAAAGACTGAAACCACTTTCATCTCAGGGTTTTCAGTGTTGGTTTTTTCTTTTCATCAAATGCAATATAAACCCACACTCCCTCTATTTTGCCTGGAAACCAAAACTGACATTTTCTCTGTACTCTTTAACATTTACTCATGAGATCCTAAATATTCAAAGTCAATTTACAGTACTGTCTAGATAGATATTAGTATGTTCCCAGCTGTGTTACGTAAAGTACAGAAACAAATACTTTCTTCTTCCTCTGTTTTCTGAAGCAGGTGTCCTCTAGTCCAACACAGCTCTCTTGCATGCTCTTTGAGATCTGCAGAGCCCCTGGCTCCCTTACAGTCACGGTAGTCTTCTCTGCATGTGCTGCAAAGATGTAGGCAGATGCCTAGTCTGCACAGCCTGAGTGGCACAAGGTAGAGCACTTCTGGCAGCATTGGCACTGTTCTGCTGGTTACTGTGAAGTGACCATGGGGTGCAGATAAATGTATTGCACATTGTTTTGACACACCCAGTGCTCCTATTTTTAGCACCCACTTGTGAAAATCAAGCCCTCCTGTTATTTTCCAATATGGAGACATTCTATTATGTTAATGCTAACATTTTTTCCCCTACTTATTACTATTCAGTGAATTGTTGTTGTTAATTTTAATACTGATAACCCAGGTGAAACTTTTGCTAACGATGATGAGTTAGGACAATGTTGAGTTTAATATTATCAAAACAATATGGTTTGAATGTATCTGAATTGGGTATTTTTTGTGTAGGTCCTTTTCTATTAGCTGGTAAGATTGTTCTGTGTCTGTAGTCAAAATAACTTGAAAGTAAATTGAAACATTAATAATTCACAGAAGCCCTCCTTGATTTTTTATCAAAAGTAATTTTTTTTTTTTTTACAGGAAAGTCGAGTGTTAAGGACAGTACCTTTGCTAGCAGCTTGTCTTCCTCCAGAGAAATGTAAAATTTTGATTGGTCGACGTTTTAGTGAAGACAGGTGAGCAGGATTGATTATGCACATCTCTGAGTGTCTGTAAATTGTGGAGGTATTTCTTTCAGTATCTTTATTAATAGCAAGCATAATTCTTCATAGTTCTTAATTTTCATTTCTAGTGTGCACATTCCTTTCTGATATAAGCTTCTGATTTCCAGAAAAGATTTATTTGGTATGACCGTCTGAAATGTTTGATATGTCTTCCTCTAGTTTGTAGCTTCTACTCTCAATTTTTAGCAAGATGCTATAGCACAATGTTTTCTCTCTCATAATGGTCTGGTTTCTTTCCTTATTTTCAATTTTCCACTTTATTTGCTACAATATCACCAGTATTTCAAGTAGGAAGATGGTCCATTCTGTCTTTGCATTGGTAGTAAATGACAAGGCATCAAGTTTTTCAGGTCACTTTTTGCAGCTGTGGTGCTCTTCAAAAGTTCCAGTGGTTACTCTGCAACTCTTAGGATATCTTTTTACAATTCTTTTCTGACCCGGTACTTAGTTTGTCTTGCTGTTCTCTATGATTCTTTCCATATTTACTTTGTTTGACAAACCACTTGATGTTACTGAAATGCAAGTTTGTATTTAAGTGTGGGAGATTGTACTTGCAAAGGGAGTCCAGAGGTGAAAAATTCTTAGAGAATGTATTTTCTTCAAATCCTCTTCTTTTTCCTCTGATAATTAATTATAAGAAAACACAGCTTTCAGATCTCTTTTTTTATTTTATTTTTTTTAGTACTCTGAGACTTTGGACAATATTGGTCTCCTAGGTAATGTCTTTCATCTTCATTAGTCTTAGAAACCAGTTCTTGGAACAAATGCTAATGAAATTTTACTACATACATTTTCAATAAAAGCAAACAAAAATCATGAATACTGATGAAGCAAATTAATTCTAAAATTGAGTTTAATCTTTGGAGAAAACTTTTCGTAGAGATCACTGAGCACAAATGTCAGAAAGTGATTCAGAATACTGCACCCACACCTTTGCGTTGTCCGTATGATAGCTACAGCACATTAGAAATACATTGCTTTTCTATTAGTCTTCTATAATAATCACTGTAATAATTATCTAAGAAATTGTACTTTCTTCCCATTAAACCTGAAAATGAAGTAACTTTTTATACTGATGTTTGTAGGGTGGAACACCATCAATGAAGTCTATTTGTAGTAAATCTTCTTAGATTTTTTTTTTTTTTTAGAAGTGATGACTACAGTGTTCTTCAAGATTGAATATCAAAGTATTTATCTAACCTAAAGGATTCTCTTTAGGTCAAAATCAGTTGTGGAACATCTCAACCCCCAGTTTAAATAGATTCAGAATTATGTTGTCTCTATGAGAAGAGTATTTTCTGCCACAAAATATGTTGGAGATGGTGGAGGAAATTAAAGTCTTCCTGAGGTTTATTTGAATTTTGGGGATATGATTTTGGCTAGATAATGTAGTATCTATGATATGCGTGCTTTGTACCGTGGATATGAGACTGCAGAATTTTGGAATGCTCAGTCATTATCACAGAATCATAGCGTTGTTTGGGTTGGAAGGGACCTTTGAGACCATCCAGTTCCCTGCCATGGGCAGGGAAACCTCCTACCAGGTTGCTCAAAGCCTCGTCCAACCTGGCCTTAACTCAAGGGATGGGGCGTCCACAGCTTCTCTGGGCAAAGTCATTGACATCATTTGCACCGTTCTGGGAGGTGGAGGGATAAGAAGAATGCATTTTTCATACGTTGCAACATATTATTCTACATTTTTTTAAAATCTATTTTTATATTCTTTTTTCTTAGTTATAAATGCAGCTTGTCTGTGTTTTATTCCATATTCCTTATTTTAACTAGCACTAGGTACTTGAATACCTGTCAAGAGGATCATATCAATGTTATTTTGGACTTCAAGCATTCTATCAGGCCATAAACTGGGTAGGTGTGTTTAGATAGCTCACGGTAATGGAATGACTTAAGCTCCTTCTCTGGTGTGGTATATTCTAGTAGTAGGCATCTGAAGACATGGGTAGAACAATTGCAATGTTTACAGTGAATGGGGAGGGCTGTACTGGTCCCTGCCTGCCCTTAGAGAGAAAATCACTGCTAATGGGACTCTTAAAGGCCCATAAAATATGAGCCAAACCACTGCAATTTATCATATATTAAACTAAACTTTTTTTTTTTTTTTTTAAACCTGCTTTTCTCAAAAGCCACACCATCTGTAAGTAATTTGTTAGCTGCTATACAAGTTAGTTAACCAACCTTGCCCCATGTGGGTGGATGCTTCTTTGTTACTTTGTACAAAACAAATAATTAAAGAGCGCTTGCTGACATTTTATAAGGATTGTTGTTTTGAAGAATATTAAAGCCTTACCTTTTGTTCTTTTGAAGTTCTGTGTTTTTATTTACGTCCTTTGTAGCTTCCACCAGAAATGCATAGGTTGGAAGGAAATAGAAATAATGTAAGTAAATCCTGATCTTGCTCTGATCTTGCATGTAAACAGTGCCTACATGTAGAGGGATAATACGGTGCACACGTTCTTTTTTCTGCATTCAGGTAGAAGCCCTACCATGCAGTAGATCAAGGAGAGTGATATCTGCGGTGGTTACCTATACATTTGTAAATTCTCAGAATAAAATGATAGTGGGCATATTTGTATTATCACATTATCTAGCAGCTCTTGACAACAGCTAACAGTAACTGTCATTATGGTTCTGAGTAAAGGTTCAGCCTTACGTGCCAGCTGTTACTTTGAAATCTCCATCACCACAGCTCTAGCAGTGGCACACCCAAACAGCAAACTGATCATTGCTAATCCAGTGGTCTGAAGAGATCTGCTTTCAGGTAGGGATGAACGTATCAGACAAGCTAGGTAGCTGTTTCAGTCTTAGTGCCCCTCTCCTAAAGGGGATGACAAGCTTGTTGACCAAATGTAGCTTATTTTTACTGTTTTGTCCAAGCTGTACAAAATTACTTGTTTCCTATGGTTTGTAATCAGCATCTAAAACTAATAAGGAGCACAGAGGGATTTTATAAGAAACTACATAGATTTGGGTACTGTAGAGTAACTGGGATGATTGGAAAGCTTAAAATATAGGTTCCTGAAGCTTATGATGATAAGTTTGAAAATTAAGATTTCTTTTTGATTCTTACTTTGTGTGTGATTTTTTTGAAAGCATATCTCTTTAGTATTTCATCTACTCAGCTCTCCCTTCTTGGGCTAGCTTTTGTTGTGCTTGATAACCAATACACAAACTATTCAGATTACATGTACCTTGTCTTTGATTGACCTATGTTGCAGACAAGTTAAAGAACCAGCTTTTGCTGAGTCTTTACAGAAGTAAACAGCTTATCAAAGGTTTTTTTTATCTTTAATATATAATTGACACAGCAGTGGGAAAGATGAAAAGTGATCACTCAAGTTATTTTTAATTGCTATTTTATTCCCCCAGTCTTGTCCATCTTTCCTGCAATCTGGCATTTAAATTCTGGTAAAAGTACGTAATGTTTCCATGCTGAATTGACTCATCAGATGGCATTACTGAATTGAAAGAGCAGTTCTGCTGATTATCTGCATTTTTTTTTTCCAGGTACTTGAAGACTTAAACTTTTGAACTTTTTGGTGTTGATCATGTTACTGACAGAAATTGGGGTTAATTTTTTATATAATAAAATGATTAAAAATGAACAGTTTAGCACTTAGTGAACAGTATTATTGTAAAAATAGTACTTTTGTGAATTATTAGTATTTTTTGCTCACTTCTGCTTTTTGTACATTTGCAGTGAACTCAGTATTGTAGTACTGTAGCAGGCAGAAGTGTGAGAGAATGGGTCAGCGTCACTGTCATATAGGAGATTTCATTTTACATAAAACTGTAAAATACTTACTTGCACATCTGACATCTTGCTGGTACTGATTCTGAACCTATTAAGTACAGGCACCTTGCAAAACTCTTTGACTAGAAAAATGGCATAAACAAGCAGAGAGCTCAATTAATTTGTATTGACATTTTCAAAACTCAGAGCAAGCTTTCTTCCTTGCATAAAGTCAGACTGACTCCAGGAAAACTAGTTTTCACGTACAACTTCATGAAGTGGCAAATTAACCTGCGGTGAGACACTTCCAAGATGATAGTAAGGATTAACCAGAGCTGCCAAAAAGGCGTGGAGGTCTCTGTTTAATTTCTGTATTGCCAATGGTTCATTGGTTTCATTGGTTTAGTGGTTACTGTATGTTGCTGGTTGTTTCATGTCTTTTTTTTTTTTTTTTTTTTTAAGTGACTTTGCTGACACAACATTCATGTTGCTCCTTTTCTGCCTGTCAGCTTTCAAATATGCACTACTTATATACATAATTTCCTTTCCCTTTTCCTCTGCCTTTCTTGTTATGTTCACATTACAAATTAAAGATGATCTTTTTTTTTTCTTTTTTCTTTTTTCTTTTTTCTTTTTTCTTTTTTCTTTTTTCTTTTTTCTTTTTTCTTTTTTCTTTTTTCTTTTTTCTTTTTTCTTTTTTCTTTTTTCTTTTTTCTTTTTTCTTTTTTCTTTTTTCTTTTTTCTTTTCTTTTTTTCTTTTTCTTGTCTCCTAACAGCACAAATCCAGGTAACATTTCATATCTTCTCCTCTCTTGTATCATTGCATCTGATTATTTTTCAAAACCCATACTATTTTCACAAGCTACTACTTATGTAAGCCCTACATGTTTGACTATGATTTCTAGTCTTCCTTACTTGATGGTATCTGTAGCATTACATAGTGTAACTTCTGGTTCACTGTTCTTTATCAAAAACAATTTTTATTTTATTGGTATCTCTGTTTCAGTGCTTCTGCTTAATAAAGGTATATGTAATTCTTCAAACTTAATGTTCTCTTAGATTTCTGCATACTCCAGACTCCCTCTGAGTATTGTTAAACAGTTTCCTCTTTTCTGCTGGTAATCAGTTCTCAGATGGTTTCCACTTTATCAGAGATCACTGTGGAGATTTTCAGTACCAAAGCTGATTTCTGTTCTCCATTGGT